CATATTTTATTTATCTCTCTATTCTCTACTGCTGAGTATAGCATTCTAGCTCAATAGTTATCTTTTGAATAAAAGATAATTCATCATTGCCAATCCATCAGTTTCTACTCAGATTTGACTCACTGCTTCTATGCATTATATTAATGAGGACTCATTAGTGTGGGGGTGCTTTGCCTTCCCTGGCTCCTTCCCTCTACTACTCTGATATAGACTTGGAGGAGATGAGAAGGGTGTATTTTGAATTGACTCCCTCGATGATTATAATGTACATACAGTAGAACCTTGCTATCCAGTGGTATGTGGTTCCAAGGGACAGCCAGCGAGGAAACCCCACAAATGCTCAGGATGCATAGAGTTCAGTGCTGTAGTGCAGATGGTTGATTCTTTTTTTTTCCCGTGGCACTGCCCAACATTCACTAAAGACATACTGCCTTTTAACAAATCACAAATTCTCACTTTTACACTCCAATTAAACACATTAGGGAACCTTTTTGGCTTGGGAGGATCATCATAACTTTGACCTTGCCTTTTGGGTACTATTTGCTTTTTTGGGTCAGATTTTCACAAAATTTACGGCAGGGAAATGCTTAGCAGATCACACAACCATTTAAACACAACTGATGAGAACACAGGACCAAAAGCTTCTCCACATTCACTGAGCTGTATAATGAATACCAGGAATTTCTTTTTTTTTTTTTTGACTGTGCGTGGTCAAAAGCAATAAATAAGGTGGGCTTGCTGTATTTCCTATTATCCTTTTTGTGTGTGTGTGGTGCTTTGTGTGTTTTTTTTTTTTTTTTTTAACTCGGGGCCAACACCTTGAGCCACTCCTCCAGCCCTTTTATTTTTTTGTGATGGGTTTTTTCAAGTTAGGGTCTCTTGAACTATTTGCCGGGGCTGGCTTCGAATTGTGATCCTCCTGATTTCTGCCTCCTAAGTAGGCAGGATTACAAGTCTGAGCCATAGGCACCCAGCCATTTCCTATCATCTTGAGCACAAATGAAACACATTCACAGGTTGCACATCTTGCTGCCATTCCCACAGGGGAGACCTGAATTCCAAAGGCTAGTCATGGACACTGAAGAGGTACTTGGTGTCTCATGAATGGGGGTGGGGGGTTGAGATGGGTTCTTTCCCACTGTGGAGCCTGCTTGGGGACAGGGGAGAGGGAAAATAACATGCCCTTTCTGAATGCCTCCTGTGCTCTTACCAAGCAAGGAAACCACACACGCGCAAACTGAGGAGCGTTGTTTTCAAGGCCAGTCTCTTGGTGCAGTTCAGGCAAACACTCTAAGGAAAAGAGTAGAGAATTATTTCATAAATACACAAATCTTACCAACCTGTCTTCCAAGCACCAAATTAATATAGAAATAATCACAAAGAAACCTTACCAAAAGAAGAAAATTTCAAATATTTGGAAATTTTAAACCAAAGCAGTGAAACTGCAAGAAGTGGAAGCAATTGGATTGAGTGTTAACTGGAGCATCTGTTAGATTTATGGGAATTTGAGATCATCTCAAATACCAGCTCCTCGGAAGGCGCTCCCTGACACCAGCCTAAAGCAGCCTGCTGGCTGTCAGTTGCTCACCCTGTCTCAGGTCACCCCATCTCATCATATCGCCCAGTTCATTTTTTATAGCAGGTATCATTCGAATTTATCCTGCTAGTTTTTGATAGAACATCCTTAAGCACATCCTCTCTGTCCTGTTTCTTACTGTACTCCAGCTGCTTGGCATGGACTAGGTGCTTAGTCAGTACGTTTGCTAAATCACGAGTGAACATTATGCATTGCCTATTGGAGATAGTTCTTCAAAACTGTTTTCAAGATGGAAAAACTGCCAGAAAAGAAAACAGACAAACAAAAAATCACCCTGCTCAAGATTTTTTTTTTTTTGGTGGTACTAGATTTTGAACTTAGGGCCTCATGTTTGCTGAGCAAGTGCTCTACCACTTGAGCCACTCTACCAGCCCTCTACTCAGGATTTACCTCAAAGGAATGAGTAAGTTTTACCCCATAAAATATGTCCAATAATTATGGATCAATTTTTAAAAATGGGTAAGAGCTTGGAGAGCCTCGTGATTAAAAGCAAGGAACAAGGAGTCAGACTATCCATAGTTAGAGAGCCCAGGGAATTGCCCATTCCTACTAAATAGCTATTGAGTATAAGTTCCAAGATTGAGTCTGAGTTCATGCTCACAGTAGTAAGAACACATTATTTATTTTGAAACACTCATGCAGTGGGGTCCCAGTATATAACAAAAGAATGAGATATGAGATCCTTTTAAAAATAAATTCCATGCTTAGGAATGTGTATACTTACTGACTTCAAAACAATGTTTTCCATGAAACCATAAAACTATTGAAGTCTTTAGAAAGTCAAATATGACACATAATTTGTTTTCTTGATTGTTTTATCTAACAGAACAGAAGGTGGAGTCAAAAGACATTAGTTCTGGTTCAAGCACTGCCATTTACTAGCTTAAGTCACTTCATGTCTCAGACTCACTTGCTTTGTCTTTAGTAAAAGAAAAGAATGCCAACATTCCTGCCCCTCCCAGGGTAGCTGGTGCACTGCAGGAATACAGCCCGTGTGGAGGTGCTTAGTTCAGTAAGGATTGTAAGCATGTTATTTTTCACATTGAGGAGAGAAAGACTTTGTAAATGGTGGAGAACATAACCCTGTTTCAGTGGTTACAGCCAAACACTAAACTGTGTGCCCTAGTTCGCTTTCAAAATTCAATGACATGATTGCAAAAGTTAAGTTGCCATCTCTGTGCTAATTGGGCCGGATCTTAGCAGTGTGTTCACCAGAAGTTTAGCAACAAGGGCTCAGTGGTAGAATGTTTGGCCAGCATACAAAAGGCCCTGGGTTTGATTACAAAAGAGAGGGAGAAAGAGAGAGAGGTTGCAACTATAGTAACATGTAGAAGTCCAATGGTATCTTCTCTTGTCTACAATAAGAGTTGCTAAAATGAAAAATTATCTCTAGATCCCTCCTCCTTATTGCATTAACACTCGGACCTTTTCTCACTGTATCCTCTCTCTCCCAGCCCATCAGGATTCTTTTCCTATATTCACAAATATTTTATTCATGAAAGCATTTCATTTCTTGAGCCACCACCCTTCATAGTTTAGAAAGTAGTAGGCTGAAATGTTAATGGTATTTATCTCTGGGTGGTAAGATACTGATTTTCTTTTTCTTTTGATGGTACTGGGATTTGAAATCAGGGTCTCACACTTGCTATGCAGACACTCTACCACTTGAGCCACTCCACACCCTTCTTACTGAACTTTTAGATACTTCTAGTTTTTTCCAGAATATGCATTTTTTCTTTTTATACTAAGAAAAATAAGAGAACAGATTTAGTCATCACTCTTTAAAAGATGGTCAGATAACACTAATCCTAGAAGTTATCCTTTAAGGAAAACGGTATCTGATCATGTAAATTTGGGAAATACTAGACATTATCTCCTTTCAGCAGGATCCCAAAGCACAAGAATTTGTTAAACACAAGGTTTCGCAAGACAGAAACATACTTAATTTTGTTTAATCCAGAATGTTTTCATTCTTTCCTCCACAAAACACATTTTTTTCCCATGAGAAATCTGTAAGCATTTTGTGAATCCAGTGGCCCACCAAGTTATCTTCTGGAGAAACAGGCAATTGGGAACAACTCTCTTTTGCTGAGCAGGAGGGTGACATGGGCTTTCTGCCCCCAGTCTGTGGATCTCTGGAAGGTCCATGAATGAGCTGTAGTGCCAGGTCCCCTTGCACAACATTGTGGGCATGCACACAAATGTGCTTTCTCCTGGGGAAAGGGTCCATGACATTTATTGTCTCAGGCTTCAATGTCCTGGAAAGATACTGGCCATTCAGTACTAGGGATTGAACTAAGAGCTTCCTGCTTGTCAGGCAGGCGCCTTACCACTTGAGCCACTCCACCAGTCCTTTTTTGTGTTGCGTGTTTTCAAGATAGGGACTTGAGAACTATTTGCCCAGGATGGCTTCAAAGCGAGACCCTCCTGATCTCTGCCTCCTGAGTAAGGAAGATTACAGGTATGAGCCACCAACGCCCAGCTCCACTTTCAGTATTTTTGCAACACTTTGTCATCAAAGCAAAGCAGAGAAATCTGTTGTCATGTTTAGCAAAACAAAACAAAATGAAATGAAATGAAAAATAGGACACCTAGTTAAATTTGAATTTCAGCTAAGCAACGATTTTTTTTAGTATTAGGATGTCTGATACAACCTTTTGGATAGCCTGATACTAAAAAATGACCAGGTCTATGGCCATACCACCCTGAATGTCCGATCTCATCTAAAAAGTGACCTGTTTATCTGCAATTCCTATTTGACTGGGTGCAACTCAATTGTATTAGCACTAAGCTATGGAAAACACACTGTGACACATGCTGAAGTTGGACCCTTTAATACCTTTCCACTCAAAGTGTGGTCCATGGACCAGCAGGAACTTATTAGAAATGCAGACTCTCAGGCTCCATACCCCACACCTGCTGAATCCAAATTTACACTGTATCAAGATCCCTATGTGTGCTGGACGTAATGGTGCATGCCTGTAATCCCAGCATTTGGGAGACTGATACAAGAGGATCACAAGTTTAAGGTCAGCCTGAACTACATAGTGATTCCGTCTCAAAAAGCCAAAAAAAAAAAAAAAAAAAATCCCTATGTGGAATGTTCACTTGTCAAGGTTTAAGAAGCCTTGACATAAGAATTCCTGGCCTGATAGTTTTCAGCCTTGGTTCCACAATCTCTCAGAAGCCTTAAAAGTGCTCATGCCTGGGCTCACTCATAAAGTCCAATTTGATTGATCTGAGGTATCATCTGGGAACTATGATTACTTTTAACACTCCCTCCTTTCTGCCCCGGATGATTCGAAGGTGCAGCCTTCGAAAAAGGTGTACCTTTTTACACTAGGTAGGAGGAGCCAAGCAGGGAGAGGATTTTAGCAGAGTCACCTGTGGAGAGTTTCCCAGCATGCATTTCTGTGCCCCACGGTAGGTCTACACACCAAAATCTGCAGGCATAGGCTGCATTTTGAGAAAGTGTCCAGCATCCGTCTATGTTCTTCCGGTGTGGCTGAGAGCCAGAAGTGCAGCTGTCCAGTGCTATCTGGCCCCCATGCTGTTAAGGGAAGAGGCCGACCCAGAGGAACTCAGCCTTCAACTTGGGTGAATCCTAGCTTTCTTCCTGCTCTCCAGCACCCTCAGAACCTTAGGTGAGCCCATTCTCCAGTGTTGGAGTGACCATCTTGTTTATAACTGTCGCCTGAAACACATGTGTTCAACTTGTGGGGGCCCCCATGGGATCCTCTTGCGACATGGCTATGGAGGAAGTGGCCAAATCAGTACTTTTCCCTTGTAAATATGCCTCTTCTGGATGTGAACTAACCGTACCACACGCAGAGAAAGCAGCCCCCGAAAAGCTCTGTAAGTTTCGGCCTTACTCCTGCCCATGCCCTGGTCCTTTCTGTAGGTGGCAAGGGCCTTTGGATGCTGTGACACCCCATCTGACCCATCAGCACAAATTCATCAGAACCCTACAGGGAGATGATATATTTTTCATTGCTACAGACATTCATCTTCCCGGTGCTGTTAACTGGGTGATGATGCAGTCTTGCTTTGGCTTTCACTTCCTGTTAATTTTGAAGAAACAGGTAAAATACATTGGTCATCAGCAGTTCTTCGCCATCGTACAGCTGATAGGGACACGCAAGCAAGCTGAAAGTTTTTCTTATCAACTTCAGCTGACCGGCTGTAAGCGGCGATTGATTTGGGAAGCCACTCCTCGATCTGTTCAAGAGGGAATTGCAACAGCCATTATGAACAGTGACTGCCTCGTCTTTGACACCAGCATGGCACAGTTTTTTACAGAAGGTGGCAATTTAGTCATCCGTGTAACTATTTCTAAGCGTTGAAAGGACACCATTTTCTGAGCAGTGTTTAAAACTGTTGTATTCAATTTAACAGAGAATAAGGCACCCATCTGCCTGCCAACCCGAAACTCTTGGTAGGTGGAATCTCGACACAGGAAGGCAAATAAAAAGAAAGGCTGTTAAATACAGGAAATCATTGCATGTAGTAACAATAATATACTTTAAAATGTCAACAGTAAATCACTGAGAAATACATATTTATTCCCCCAAGACGGACATCTTTTGTATTAATAAGGGAAGTATTGTAAAATAATTCTGAATTTTGCATTTGTTGTAGGTTGATTTTATTGTTAATTTTTTTATGCGCATGTGTGTGTGTATGTGTGTTTGTCTTTTTTCCCTTTAGCCGACAAGCCATCCGAGTGGCCTCAGACCACTGTTTTCCCCTTGTGAGTCAACACCTAGTGCTGTTGAGGTTTATGTTTTTTGGAGAGTGTATATATATATATATATATATATATATTGTGTGTGTGTGTGTGTGCATTTGCTAATTTTTATTCTAGTTTTTCATTAAATAAATTGACTTTTCTGTAATTCTCTTCGTATCTCACTTTTTTGTACCTTTTAAAAGTTAGTCTCTTAATATGCATAACTTTATGTCAAAGTTTGTGTTCAATACCTATTTTCTTTTCCCTCATCAATCAGTTCATTAGGAATTTTTAAAATTCACCTATTTTGTGAAGATATGGTTCCAAAAAGGAATGGTAACGTCAGAACAATTACCAATCTATTTGAAGCAGCTATAATACAGTCTGCTCAGGGTCTCTCCCTCTCACTCTTACTCCTCCCACTGAATTATACTTTCAGGCTTACTCTTTGAAAAGTTAAGTGAATACATTCTCATTTTCATGAATACTGAAAAAAAATCAGACTTTTAAAAATATTTTTCAAAATAGCTTGGACAAATCACATGTTTAAAATTTGTTATATTTATTGGTTTTGCAAAAGAAGGTATTATCATATACAATATTTATAATTTAAGGCAAATCATTTGTTTAAAAAGGCAGTTTGCAAAAAATAGGTGTTGGTCTTTTATAATTTTCATTAAAAGATTAGCTGGCAAAAAAAAAAAAAAGACTTAGGTGGGAGAACACTAAAGACAAGGAAGGATGGCCTTGACCCACCAGAGGGAATTCCATGGAAAGAATTACTGTGATGCCTGAAGACGAGTCTTTCACTCACACCTACCAGAGAACTCATTTGTTTTGACTCTTGGGACATGAAATGACCTCCCACAAGTCTACCTAGAATAGAAAATGAATTCTGAAAGTGATTCTGGCAGAAGTTGGAAGGATTTACATAATTCTGAGTTATATTATCTAGAGCAGGTGGTGACTTGCTCGCCTGCTGATACTGTAAATCCCAGCTGCAGAGAAGTGACATAAAGTGCTTGTCAGGTGTGTGGGATCCCTGGGCTGACAAATGGGTGACACAGTAAGTGTTAAAGACATTAGTGGATCTTTTCTCCAGCAGCTTGTGGTAGCTGACTGCAAAGCTTGACACAAAGCAGTCGGGATTTTAGTTGAAGAAAAGAAATTCAATTAAATAGTATGGATTTCATCCAAGGCTGAGGCTGAACAATGCCTTTGTCTGTCTTTTAGATAATTTTGCAACTTTTGGAAGAAATTGGCTATCAGTTAACCCATTGCTATGCCTTGGATTTATTTTCCTAGTAATTAAGAGGAATAAAGAAATGCTTGGAGTTGTGGGTGTAGCTCAGTGGTTAAGTGTTTGCTTAGCATGCACAAGACTGGATTTGATTCCCAGTAAAAAAAAAAGAAAGAAAAAGAAAAGAAATGCTTGATTTCCTCAAGGAAGAATGAGAAATGGGATGTAAACATAGAAAGAACCAACAAGGTTGGTTTGAGAGAAACCAAAAGGCCTATTTCTGGGATCATGACCACTTTGGTCACCCAGTTTATAGCAAGTTCCTATGGTTGATGACATTGACACAAAGCAGCCAACGGGCTCATTCAAGGAGGACAAGTTAGTGTCATTTTCTAGTTCTACAATGGATCTCTCTCAAGGTTAAACTGTTTGAGGATTTCCTTCTGGTAAAATGATTGTGATCTACTTTATGTTGTATTAAACTTTCCGTAACTTTTATAGTGCTTGGGGCTCCTTGAGCTCTTATTAAAGGTCTCAGTTCCTAATTGAGTACATCTGGGGCCGAGTCTACTTTTCTGCATTTCTCACAATCTCCCAGATGGTGTTGATGCTGCTGGTCTATGGACCCCACTTTGAGTGACAAAGGTGTAGAGCTTTGCTTAAGCCATGTGTCCATCAGGGTTTATAGGAGATAATAGAGATATTTGAAGGAATTACCTCCCGTGATGGTGGAATTGGCTAGTCCAAAGTCGGTAGGGCAGGCTGGAAAGGAGCAGGAGTTAATGCTGCAATCTTAAGGCAGGATTTTTTTCTTCTCTAGGAAAACTCAGGTTTTGCTCTTGAGACATTTCAGTAGATTGGATGAGGCCCCACTCATTATAGAGGGTAACCTCCTTAAATTCTACTGATTGTAAATATTAATTTCATTACAAAACACATTTACAGCAACACTTAGGTGAGTATTTGCTTACATAACTGATTGTTACAGCCTAGCCAAGTTAACCATCACATCATGGACCTCCCCCTTTAAACAACAGTCCTTGTTAAATACCAGATGAGCAAAACTGATACAAGCAGACTGCCCCGGCCTCTCTTGTTCAGGGTTTCTGCGCCTTCCCGGTTCCCAAGGGCGCTCTCAGGCACATCATTTCTAAATCACCAAGAAAATGCAGGTAAGTAGTAGCACCTGACTCAGATAAATTAGCTGGTCTTAGTCAAAATATTTAGCACAATACCTGGCACAGGGTAGGCACTTTACACATATTACGTACTTCTAGTATTATTGTTATCAAGCAGAACTACAGAAAATAGACTTTTTCCAAATAAAGAAAAACCTGAAATATTTCAGTAAGTGACTTGATGCTTCACAGTGAGCTCCTAGAATATATTTCTACCTACTTTGTGCTCACATGGTAGCCAACCTCAGCTCCCATTGAGCATCTCAATGGAAGATGTCTCTACAAGCAGAGCATCAGTCCAGCACTGGGACAAACAATTAGACCCCATAGAAGGGAAGATCAATGTTACTGCTTTGTTTTCTTTCATGCCTCAAATGACTGCATTTAACCTTTCAGGCCTCTTGACCAAGAATGTAACTGGTTTGTCTTACCTGGTAGCTGGAAAAAAGTAAACACCAGGCCCTCCTTAAATTCAACTGCAAAGAAACACTATGGGTGCAACCTAACAATACTGTCATGCACCATAAAAAGGACAGTTCTTCTCAATTGTGTCTTTAGAATTTAAAATTGGAAAAGCAAAAGAAGTTACTTTCTATAATCCTCAGCTTACAATTAATAGAAGGAGAACAAATATGTTGAAGAAAACAAAAGGTGTCTTAACTTTATAAGGGGTTTTGAGCTCCTTGAGTTTAATAAACAGTGTGGAACTACATAGAATTTTCCCTCCCAAAACACTGGGCTAATGAAGTTAAGAGACCATGTCTCAACTATATATTTTGTAAAATTACCCTGGAATTTGGAACCAAAGTTGTATGTTTTCTGCTTCTTTTAGTAATGCAAATGCATACTGTACATGATCTTTGATTTCTTTCCTGACAATTGGTGTTTACAATGTAGGGCAGATTACAGCCTCCAGGTCATTGCACTGTATATTTGTTTTGTTTTTTTTGGAGGTACTGGAGTTTGAACTCAGGGCCTTGTGCTTGCTAGGCAGGTGCTCTACCATTTGAGCGACTCTGCCTCTTTGCACAATAGCTATACTGACTGCAGTAAGAAAACCAGTGAAAAATCCCATGTGTTAGAAAAGTAAGAAAAGAGGCCAGGCCTGGTGGCTCAGGCCTGTAATCCCAGCACTCAAAAGATGGAAGCAGGAGAATTGCCAGTTTGAGGCCAGACTAGGCTACAAGGCAAGTTCTAGGTTAGCCTGGTCTATATAGCAAGACCCTGTGTGTTAGTTACTTTTCTCATCACTGGGGAAAAAATTTTGACAAAAACGATCTAAAGGAGGAAAATTTTATTTTTCACTTGTGGATTCAGAGATTTTAGTCCCCAGTCCTTGGCTCTGTTGATTCAGAGCCTGTGGTGGGGTCAAATATCACAGTAATAGAAGCATAAGGCAGACACTGTTCACCTCATGGTGGACCAGAAGTGGATCTTGAGAGGGGAAGGGACTGCAGACCAGGTATGGCCTTCAAAAACATGCCCTCAGGACCTATTTTCTTCCACTGGGCCCCCTGCTAAGGTTTCCAGAACCTCCCAAAATAGTACAACCAGTGGAGGACCAAGCATTCAAACATGAATCTGTGGGGCATTTCATATCTGAGCCACAACACCCTGTCTCAAAAAACAAATGAAGAGAATATAATTTGAAGGCACTAGGACTAATCCTCTATGCTGTTTCCTGCTGACAGCCCCATTTCACAAGAACTGGCTTAAGAAAGTTTCCATTCGCTGTAATAGGCATTTCTCGTCTATAATGAGTAGTAATTATGTCTACACTTAACACAAAGAAAGAAGGGCAGGCGTGGAGACAGGACAGAATTGAGTAGTTATCCAACACTAGGGTACTGAATAGATGTGGCCCAAGTTCACACTCTAGTTAGTTACTGTGTGACCTTGGGCAAGTTACTGAGCCTCCCTAAGCCTTAGTTTCCTTGGTTATTTAGCGCAGTAATATCTCACAGGGTTGTTTTGAAATTAAATAAAGCACGTAAGCATTCAATAAGGATAAGATCAAGAGAACAGAAATGGGTCAATACTAGGTCCAGGTTCTCCCCTCAATCATCAGGCTTTGATGCCCCATAGGGTACCCAAAAAAGGGTGCTAAGAGATTGAGTGAACCACTTGCATTTCTGTTTAAGTTGTTTGGGGATCCATTCATTAGGATGAATCCTGTACCTCGCAATGCTATGGGGT